AATCCTTATAACACAAATGCTGTCTTTAACAATGAAACTTAGTCTTGTCCTTATTTCAGAAGGAAGAGGTAGCTAAATTAACCAAAACCCTGTTGATTAAAAGGAACTGGTGACCAACTCAAGATTCTGCAAGAACGTGAAGTTCTCAGCAATGTCCTATTTCACACTAAACCTCCACCCCTCACCCATAAATATTTGAGGTTTAACTATTACACAACAGTATAAAGTTACATAGACTATAAGTCATTTTTGAGCTACTTCTTCTAGAAAAAGTTCAGTGTTCACTGTACAACAGTTTACAAATCTATTCAAAATGTCAGAGGGAGAATTAAATTCTTTTTCCTGCTCTGAACTTCTGCCCTTTGCAAAAGCAACTTTTATCACACATTACAGCTTGTAAACGTATTCAACTTTTAACTTTGTGAAATATCAAGTCTGAAATATAAGTAATTTCTTTGCCCCAGACCCTTTTATTGTTTTTCTTTAAATAGCTAAACTATTTTTAGTAAAATGAAGGTAAGACCACTGTTGTACACTTTTTTCCCCAATACTATTACAGAATTTTTAGAACTAAAACATGAATAGTCATACTCCAGAAAAAGTACGTAACCACATGCTCAAATTTAAGCACAGGAAAATCAATCTTCCTGAAGCAAAGTGGACTAACAGACCACTGACTAACCAGGCACATAAAAGCATTTGAAAGCACTGGAACCATAGTCTTTTGAAGGACTTCACTATTTTATATCTGACTTCACATTCGGTAAGGCAGATTTTCATCATCTTTCTATACTCTCCAAATTTTATAGGAACAGAATAGCACAATTTTTGGAACGCAGACGTTTATTGGAAGTGTCAAGACCCAATCAAAATTTCTCACTGAAAACTTAAGACTCTTCCACTAAGATGAGACTGAAATGCAAAACACAATACATACAAGCAGAGACACATAAAACCTCAGTGCTTTGTGCCTATAATACCTGACAGCAACTCTTTAGAATACTTCTTATGTAGTAACACATTTCAGGTGCAACAAATACGTTTCTTTTTAACTCCCTTTTTTCCTGCCACAAAAATAAAAAAAATATAGCTGAAATGATCCCAAGCTGACTAAAGTTAAAAATTTTCTAATACTGAAAATACTTTTTTTTTAGAACAGAAGTGAATTTAAATTACCCATAACTTTGGAAATGCTAACTAAATACGCAAAAGGTTTGACACTTGGTCTGTAGTAATACCACCAAGGACTGAACTAGAATTTTTCCTAATTAGTGATTCAGGAAAGCAGAAATTCATAGCTTCATTCAGATGGATCTGTAAGCCGTACAGTACATTGTTACTGTTGTCCCTTATAATCACCACACAGATCTATCAGACTAATGATAAAACCAAGGCAACTGTCTCTAACTGTCTATTTTCCTTCAGCTGCTTATATACGGAAACACAAACAGCTCAAAGTTCAGTTTTTCAGTACTTGTGATCAAATACAAACAAAAGTTCTCAACAGTAATAGTCCAGTAAAACAAAGATATTAAACAAACAAAACCACCATGTTAAAAAAAGAAAAGCCATTCTGGAGAAGATGACGACAAACTCAGACCTTCCTAAGTCAAATAATAGATCTATACAGGATAATTATTTTACAAAGTTTATCAATGAAAAATATGTAACAAGACATACATAATTAATCTACAGTCACGAAGCAAGATGGCATCAAAGAAATATTCAGCATCAATTAGGTAAGAGTGAACACGGTTTTATGTATTATTTTTCAAACAATAACTCTACGATGAAGCACTAATTCCAATGCATTTAAATTAGAAATATGGACACTAAGCCCTGCAAAGGAAAAAAAAAAAAAGATTAAATTAAGTTCTGGTAATTCCTTTCATTACCTGCCAAAAAATGCCACTTTCATGTGTCTCCGTGAAAGTACCTCACCGATGACTGCTAACTTATGTTTATATGCCTGTATTTTTGCTAGTTCGTCTTCTGTTGCTACATGTTCAAGCTCTGGGTTCCTGTATGTTGCTACACATAGAGAAAGAATAACATAAAAGCAATCACATACAGAGTACGTGCTCCAGGATACAAGATACAGATTATTAATACTTCACATACTAACAAAGATCTGTGTGAAATTTCATTATACAGCGTAAGAAAACAAAACCCCACTACAGACACTGGTATTAGCCCTTGTCATTTGACAGCGCTACCACAAGCACTTGTGAAATCATGACATAAATCACTTCAGATTAATCAACAATCTAACTGCTGGATTCAATAACCCTGTGAAGACAGCCTGCTGTGCTGATTTGCCCCGCTCTTTGCGACACCTCCTTCCTTCAGAAAGGAAAGCCGGGACCTCTCATGGATACACCAGCTAGGCTGGGCTGTCTTCTCCCTGCAGAGCTCACTGGGGTGATGAGCAGCCAACTCTATGTGGTGACACACGCGCCTCCACGTTGCTAAAACTTCTGAGGGTGTAACCAGCGGTTCTTTGCATTACATCACGTTGACCTACTTTCCTACTGAATAATGGGAGAACCTGTTTGTCCTTTCTTCTATGCAAAAGAAACCACAACAGGACTATAAACGCTGGAGTAGTTAAGCTTTCACCCTCATGGAAAGGAGGCTAGGCCACCAGCCCAAGCAAAGCAATCAGCTTTTCATATACATAACCATCCTAGGCATTCCTGCTAGCCTTACATCACGTTGACCTACTTTCCTACTGAATAATGGGAGAACCTGTTTGTCCTTTCTTCTATGCAAAAGAAACCACAACAGGACTATAAACGCTGGAGTAGTTAAGCTTTCACCCTCATGGAAAGGAGGCTAGGCCACCAGCCCAAGCAAAGCAATCAGCTTTTCATATACATAACCATCCTAGGCATTCCTGCTAGCCTAAGTTGAAAAAAAAAAAAAAAAAAAAACAATGTCAAATGAAAAACGTGACTATTTCTGAAGGCATAGGCTTACACAAGCAGCATACTGATATATATTGTAACGTACACTGCGCTACCGTAAAACATATTCAAAGCAACAGACAAGATCCTTGTGTTTAAGTCAAAAGCTAACCTTCCACAAAAGTTGCTCCCTCAGTATTCCTGCTAGCCTAAGTTAAAAAAAAAAAAAAAAAAAAAACCAATGTCAAATGAAAAACGTGACTATTTCTGAAGGCATAGGCTTACACAAGCAGCATACTGATATATATTGTAACGTACACTGCGCTACCGTAAAACATATTCAAAGCAACAGACAAGATCCTTGTGTTTAAGTCAAAAGCTAACCTTCCACAAAAGTTGCTCCCTCAGTGACATAGTCCAGCAGCTGGTCGAAGATGGCAGTGATTGTCTTTTTAGCCAGCACAAAGTGCTTCAGTGGAGAGACGGTAGCTTCTGCCATTATGCAACTGCAACGAAAGTTACATAAAAGTGACCAAAACACTCCGCACTCCCGTGTACGTGAGAAGTCATACACTTCTCACCCAGTCATTTAAGAAAAAAAAAAACAAACCCAAAACAAAACCAAAACTCCAAATCACAATGAATGCCAGTAAGCTTAGTTTATGCTGGTTCTACTACCCTGACAAACTCTCACCTCTTCTCACCACACGCGCCGACAGCGGCTCACAAAGCTCGGGGACAGGTTTAAAACCGATTTGGTGCGGTCTGTTCTCGAAATAGGAGACTTTCCCCTCATAAAACGCGGCTCACAACCTCCGCGCCGCTTGGAGGTCAGCGCTGTCCCCTCGGCCCAGCGAGGACAGGCCCGCGGCTCCCTTCGGCCGCCCCGGCAGGCCCTGCACCCACCACCACCTGGGGGAGGCGTCGCGGCGGGCGCCCG